GGCTATTTCTCAGCCTAAACATATATTCGTCGGGTGGACAACCAGCTTTAAAGTATGTTTTATGTTTTTTAACATGCATACAAATTTTAAACATGCAAAGAAGAGTTATCAATTTTTATTTTGAAATAGATTTTTGGCAATTTTTATTGTCCACAAGACGATTACACTGTCAGGCGTGGGACTGCCAATTATCTGAGGAGGTTCGAGCCAACTCCCGCTAGGCTTATGTCGGCGAAGGAAACCATATCCTATTGTTCATCAAATGCCTGAATCTTGATGTTATAGGATTGGACATTTTTCTGCTCTATTTTCGGTGTGTCTTTATCATCAACACCGTACGCCCCAAAACGACTGCTTGCGACCTTGCTTGATGGTTTCACGTATAGCAAAAGGCTATACGTGGACACTTATGCATCGGGCATAAGCATCGAAAAACCCGAACCAAGAAGCAAGGAAAAAAAGAACAAAAATGAGGTGAGAGAGAGGAGACACTGATCCATCTAAAACACCGAAAAAGAGATTGGATCAGTTCTCAAAAACTCATATCGAAAAGACCTGGAAAAGTAGGGCCCCAGGTCTCCTAACAAATATAAAATATCCCTTTGCGCTGATTTTTCAAATCCAAAAAACGTAGGATTAATCAAATCAACCAAATGCTCTCCCGAATAAAGCTTGCAAATCTTCCCCAGCTCCCAAAGTTGATATCAAAATCTTCGGACTTCCAACTTATTCCATAACCTCACATATCAAACAAGCATAAAAATCTTCCCACAAAATCAAATAAATGCTCACGATTGGGCTCACTACAAAGAGATGAACAGCAGGTAGGACTCACGGCCAAGGCAAACCCGAGGCGCAGAAGGGGAGGAAACTCAAGGCTGAGGCAAACCCAATGATCAACAAGTGAGGCTCATGGTTGGGGCAAACCCAAATCAATTCTCTACAAGTTTTAATATACATAGGAGGACTTCCAACTTATTCCATAACCTCACATATCAAACAAGCATAAAAATCTTCCCACAAAATCAAATAAATGCTCACGATTGGGCTCACTACAAAGAGATGAACAGCAGGTAGGACTCACGGCCAAGACAAACCCGAGGCGCAGAAGGGGAGGAAACTCACGGTTGAGACAAACCCAATGATCAACAAGTGAGGCTCACGGTTGGGGCAAACCCATATCAATTCTCTACAAGTTTTAATATACATAGGAGAGTACAAAACATCACCAATCTTTCAAAGTAACAAGTTTGATCCATTTACAATCATTCAAATGATTCAAACTCAACAAGATGGGGTAAGTTAAACTCAAGAAACTCCAATGGGTCTCACGGGTAGTAATAGGAACCAAAGCCAGCAAACCACATCCAAACCACCTCTCGGGTAAGAGTAAGGCAAAGCAAACCGAGCTCTCAGCTAGAGCCAACAAAAATCATAACCAAAGCCATTTATCGGGTAGTGGCAGAAAAATTACACAAGACAGGCCACCCAACAAGCTCTCGGGTAAGGGTCAAAGGTAAGTAGAGCGAGCTACCAAAACTCTAGAGTAAAGGCAAGTTTTAAGGAATCAATCATGGGCTATCGAGTAAGAGCTAAACAAGCAAACCAAGCTCTCAAGTCAAGCCAAGGCTGAACCACAGCTAAGGTTCGAGTTCGGGCTACAACAAAATAGTAGAAAACATTTTCATACCCTTGAGACATCAAAATATAGAACCAACGCATGCCATACACAAGAAAAACTACAGAGTTCTTCCGAACCAACATAAATTCATCCACCACACGTATATTTGAGCTAAGACACCGGTGGAATGCCAAAACCCAGCCCAACAGAGGCCAAACAAAGCAAACACAGCCCCCAACCAAAACCAAACTGAGCCCAGCAGAGGTCAAACAAAGCAAACACAACCCTCAACCAAAGTCAAACCGAGCCCAGCAGAGGCCAAACAAAGCAAACACAGCCCCTCAACCAAAGTCAAACCGAGCCCAGCAGAGGCCAAACAAAGCTTAAACATTGATACGAATTCAAGTTTTAATAGAAATTAAAATCTCAGCCACTTCTAAACAAATCGAAAATCAATAAGAGCCCAAAGTGAGCTTCTTAATATTAAAATCCAGACTCCCATGAAACATTAAAGTTCCAACCATTTTAAACCGAAAGCCGTGACTCCAAATCAAGCCAAAAATAAAACCGAGCCCAGCAGGGACTAAAACCGAGCCATACAACATTAAAGATCTAGCCATTTTAAGCCCAAGGAACAACCTGCATGTCTAAACATTCGAAGCATGAAATTATTCCAACAAATATATGAACAGGGGAGGAACTTCACGAGGAGCTAAACCCAGCCCTCAGAACAAGCTATAACACTTTCCAAATTAAATAAGTTTTCTCATAGCATATATTTCAAGCCAGGGAAAGCCACAGGAAGCCAAAACCGAGCCCCCAAACATGCCCCAGACATGCATAAAACAGTAAAATGCACTCCCTGGCATACATGAAAGGCCAAATAACCTCTCCAATATTTCATGCCAAACGAAAATAAGTGAAAAGCTTCATAATACTCATCCCAACATGCTTGCAAGAGAAGCAAAAAAATTACTCTAGAGTTATGTCTTAACTCCCTAAATATTTCTAACATAAACATGCCACAATAATCATAAAGAGGCCATAGACTCCCTAGTTTAAGCAAGTAACCAAGTTTAGCTCTTAGGACATGCCCACATTTCATTTTTTTACATGTTTCTAGAGTGAATGCTTCGAAGTATATAAAAGTAAATAGAACTAGCATGCTGTATTATCCACCAGAACCATACTCAAAGCTCGGCAGAGGGAAAACCGAAAGGCAACGAGGCACTGAGAAAAGGGGGGGAAGAAGAGTACCTCTATAATGCCAAAGCAAAGCACTGCCAAAGCACTACAACACAAGAATTCACCTCAAAGAAATGTTCTCACCGAAATTCCGTTTCCAATCCCTTCACAGCCAAAATTTCTACTAATCTCCTCACAGCCCCTTTCTAATCTCCTCACAGCCAAAATTTCTACTCCTTTCTCTTGCAAATTTTTCTTCATCAACCCCAAAAAATCAAAAGAAACTGTCTTTATAGGCAGAGAAGAGAGGAGAAGAGAAAAAAAATCACACCCTCGGCCCACGACACTCGAATCGGGCCAAAGAAGAAAAGGACACGCTCCCTGTTCACAGAAGGCGAAGCCACTGAAACCTCTCGGAACGAGCGGCCAGCGCCGCGGCCGCGGAGGGAAATTGCCGTTCAAGTGTACCAGGAAACCAGCTTCCCAGAGTCAAACTACCAGGAAAAGGAAAAACCACAGCCTAAGGAGACTGGCACGGCTTCGGGAAGGAGGGCCGCGAGCAGAAGAATGTCAGGCAAGGACGAACGAGGTCAACCCTCTCTCGCGCGGAGGAAGAAGAGTTCGGTCGGCTCGAGAACGAGAAAGAGAAAGGGCCAGGCACGCAAACGGGAGAAGGAAGGGAGGCAGAGCTCGGACGCGGAGAATGGGGAGTTAGGGCTAAAGAGGAAAGGGGTAAAAATAGTTTTAATATAAATTAATATATATATATATATATACATTAAAATATACATGATTTATTCGCGCGCGGCGACGTC